TAGAGAAACAGGCAGGTCCAGCACACATGCTCCACAAAGATCCTGTTTTTGGAGGAAAAGCAAAGGGCAGAAATACAGCAGGCTTGACTGGGAGGTGATGAGCACCTATTTCCAGTTACTGAGAAGAGTGACTACTTGGCACCTCTAGAAATAGGGAACTGTGCTGTATAAACAGGATTGCTTTTAAATAGCATTTCCTGTGAGGCCTCTGTAGCTCTTGGCCTCTTCCCTTTTGTCCCCTTACTGACTCCTGAGGATTTGGCTGTATCCTCCCATCTCTGTCCCAACAGAGGATGTCTGAGACTTCTTTTGGAGGCCTATCAGTATGACTTTGGTTGACTAGAGGGGGGACCACTGAGTCGCACAAGGTATTCTATTCTTCACACCCCAGGATGACCTCAAAGTGTTTCCAAGTTATAACTGTTCCTAGTAAATGCATCTAATGATGCTGGATCCTGACGACAGGAGGAAGGTGTGAAATCACTCACTGACTTGGTTTTGTTTCCCTGCTGCAGCCCAGATGGGAGTTGGAGAAGGCAAATCAATCGGTCAGTGGTATGGACCAAATACAGTCGCACAAGTGCTCAAGTAAGTGCTGAATTTGTCCCTTCTGAGCAAAGCTAGTGTGGTTTTATAAACTGAAACAAATAAATTGGCCTGCTCCCACCCTGCCAGTATCTGAGTGTTGTGTGTGATACAAAGGCAGTTGGGTTCAATATTGCCTCCATTCAGACCAGCCATTTTCCTACTCCCTATGAAATCAACCCCACTGGGCAGCAATCTGAGAAAGGTGCAGACATTCTTGCAGACACCCATCTTCTCTCAGTATGGCAGACAAAACAGAGAAGTGTGCTTCAGTTACAGATCCATGTCCAGGACTGCTGGGCTTGTTGCTGGAATCCTTGGGTGAAATTCTGTAGCCAGTTACACCAGGGTCCAATTAAATGATTGTAATGGTCCTTTTTGGGCTCCATGTCTCTACTTGTATGTGAGGGCTGCCTCCCTTGCCCTTGACAGCAGTAGCATTATGTAAGAATCGTGGACAGACCAGCCATTTAACTGGGCAAGTGATTAATGCAGGGGCAAAATTGCAACAACAATCTTTTGGAAGTTACTTTTTGCTGGGGTCTCGCAGCGATGCCTATTGGGAAGGGGGGAGCTGTGCAATGGTACACGGATGCCTGTGGGAACAAAATGTGGTAAAACATCCCATTCATTCAGTCACTAGGGTGGGATAAAGACATACCCCCTCAGCACTGTGCATGTAGTGAGTTCTTTTGTGAGGGGCAAACCCAGTGTGATCTGTGAATGCCAGTGTTTCCCAATTCACCATCTTATTCTATAAGAATCTTAGAAATCTCTTCCTTGCCTTTGCTTAATGCCTTTTTAATTAGTCCTCTAGTTTCTTCTTTCTTTCTCTCGCTCTCTCTCCCCCATAGAAAACTTGCCACTTTTGATACATGGAGCTCATTGGCAGTGCACATAGCCATGGACAACACTGTCGTGATGGAAGAAATTAGTAAGTACCACATAGATATAGAGTCAGAGCTGTCTGTGTTGTGGGCACAAGAAGCATGAAAAAAAAACTGGGAAAAACGTTGCAGTGCAAAACAGCTAAGTTCACTATAACCTTCCTCTGTACAAAGCCCTGGCCAAAGGGCATTAGAAACAGAATAGGAATTGCAGCCTTTACAAGCAAGAAGCAAAGCCAGATAAGTAGTTTCGTGTGTCAAACTTGGTACTGTGAACTCTGTCAAAAGGATTTTAGTTCTGGAGGGAAGCATAGTGCCAGCAAACCCTTGTTGATGGCCACCTTGAGTGGAAATGCCTACTTTGGCTCTTGTAATTGAGAGCTGAAGCACTCATCCTGTTCAACAGAGCAAGGAAGCAAGAACAAATGTACTAAGGAAGAATATTTAAAATTGAGGAAGGAAAGAGGGAAGACAGTACCAGCTAATTAAAGAGCTCTGTCAAAGGGAAAGGAGTAACCGTTCACTTCTTGCGTGGCAGAGGAACTGGATGGTTGTAACCCACAGAACTCTTCAGCTTCAGGTCATTGGTTCAGATCATGAGCTAGTCAGCAATTGAAACCAAGCAACATGTGAAGGTACTATTAGCTCTAATGTATGGGTGGCTTTATAGTTCAAAAAAACCTTCCTCCATCAGTGTCAACAGAGACCCCAAGGATTGGAGGCCTTGACTTCACCTAAGCACTGAAGCATTAAACTTCAAGCACAAAGTCCCACTGATGGCACATACCTTGCTAAACTAGTGCCTAGATGGACCCAGAGAATGAGTTAACTTTTCCCCTATGGAGATGATGTCTTGTAGTCAGAGCTGAGGCATGCCGTTGCTGTGCTTTGCGCTCACCGCAGCTTATGCTGGCTTTGTTGTGGAAATTTCTTTGTGGGGCCAATGTTTATCTAAATCATGACATCCCCTAAACATTAAGAACACTTTACTGATGTTAATCCTTAAATACTATCGCCGGTCGTGTCAGTTTGAAAATGGCTTCATCTGTGTTGCTAATATTTGCATAGGCAAAGTATCAAATACCACAGGCCTGTAGAAACTGGTGTGCCATTACCAGACTAGACTGATGGACTGGTTGACTTAGTCACAGCTTTGATTTTGATTTTTGATATATAGAGAACATCAAAACTCTTTCAGACAACAGAACATTCAGAAGTCAAATAGTGTTTTCTGCAAGTTTAGAAATGTAGCGGTTAACATTGTACTGTACAGCCATTCATTCCCAAGTGAATAGGAAATGCCTTTTGTTAGAATGGTGAAACATTCATCCATTATCCTTTATGAATTAGTTCATTGTGTCAAAAAGGCCAGGGGAGCAGTGCTGGAAAGAGCTCATAAGAAACCAGGAGAAGGGGAACTGGCGAATGAATACTGACAGATGCAGTGCCAGCAAAGTTATTTTTGTCAGAATAATGGAACATGCCCTGGGTAAATCACTTAAATCCAAGCACTTTGTAGGAAGCCTCAAGGTATGGCCACACTGCAGTATGTAGACATCCCCTAGCTAGCTTTAAGCTAGTTAGCCCAAATACCTGTAGCAATCTAGCTCTTTTGCATGGCGTCCAGTGCAGATGAATTTATACTGCTTTTCAAGTGGGCTTTGCAGCCTTCTCTGTGCTGTAGCTGTAGAGGCATGGACAGCAACCAGTTACCTGGCTTAAAGGCAGCTAGCTGGGGTACATCTTGTAGTCCTAGCAGTGGACAATACTCACCAACTAAAGGAGGTTGGGATATAGAGCATACCTGTAGAAGATGAAAGATACCAGAGTTTCAGAAGTATAATGGGGTAAAAGCATGAACCAATTACCCAGATCTATGTTGATGCTGTCTCTGGTAGTGATTTGTAATGCATCAGGTCAGGAAACAGCTGCAATATCAATGTCATGACTTTCAAAGGAAAAGCAGATTGCAGGGAAGTCTTATGACTTCCATGCCTCTGTAGTAGAAGTATTAGCTAGTTTGCTTTCTTGGGTATTGAATCAGTCCCAGAACCTTTTGCAAGGATGATGAAATATTAGAGTTCATTAAAATGGTGATGGTAAAGGAAGAAAGCAAATGGACTTGGATATGGGAGGCCTTGGGAGGGAAGCTTCTGAAAATAGCCCAAACAAAGTCATTCTGCAGAGTCAGGGATTGTGTGATATGTGAGATTCCAGATGCTTTTGATCTGAGCAGTGCACTGCTGGCCAGTCTCCTGGTAGTGCCATTTCCTGGGGCGCTGCTCCTGAGCAGAGGCCCTGTTGAACTTGATGGTATCTGAAAGCATAAGCTATGCTGTAGGTCAGAGGTTGGCAATCTATGGCTCATGGACAGGATTTGGTCTGTGAACAGTTTGGGGGTGGGGATTGGCAGCACACAGCAGTAGCTGCAGAGTGGTTCTCCTGCCTCCTGCATGCTGTTTTACCTTGGCAGTTTTCTGTGTCCTGCTCCACCTCTTGCCTGTGTGGTCCCTGCTGATGTTTCAGCCCTACTCACTCTTTACCATTACCCCTAAATTTGCCCTTCAGCATAGCTGTTGGCCACAGAAATCTGCAGCACTTGCTGGTAATGGTAAGCAGAGACTATGGAGGTTTGGAGGGGAAGGGTGGTGTGAGAGAGTGGAGAGTGCTGGGGTGGCAGCAGGAGACCAGTGGCCTGGTCACAAGGTGACTGCCTCATGCCCTTGGTGGCAGATAAGTGTGGCTCTGAGTGTGATCCAGGAGGAGATTGCAGGCACCTCTTTTTGTTTTGTTTTGCATTTGTTAATCTGCATCACTTTAGAGAATTGCAGCATTTTAATTTTAATGAGCATTGGAACTGGCAAGCAAATGAGCTAGGCCTAGAGAAATGGTTTAGTTGGAGCAGGTGCCAGGGGCTCCTAGGTCTGGATTTCAGTTCAGTCTCTGGGTTGCTGCCAGCTACCTGATTAAGTGCTTTGGAAAATGCTCAGAGCCTACTTCAGAGGCATGCTCTGAGGATCCATGTCTGTACAGATTATGCTAAGCATGACCTTTATAATTGGGATGTCTTGCTTTTTAATCAAATGGCCAAAGACTTGAGGTTTTGAAGTAGCTTCTGAACTATCCCAGTTGCCCAGCATGCTCTGGGCCGATCATTTCCCATGCCTTACCTTACTAGGTGGATTCCAGCACTCCTGCCTTCCCCACAAGCGTAGAGAGTGGGGGAGGAGGGTGACTCATGGAGTGCAGTGCTGGGGGTTGCTGGGGAGCTGTTTGGTGGACTTGGAAAACCAATTATGAAGTATTGCAGCTTGCAGTTGCTGAAATGGTCTGTAATCACACCCTGGACTGCTGCTCAGGAGGTTATGGAGGTGTTTGGCAGAGCTGATGCAGGTGACTCTTTAAGGCATGTGCATTAACTTGGAGGTTCCTGAACTCCAAAAAAAAAAAAAGATATCATACTCACTCCCAAAAAAGATATCTGATTCACCCAAAGAACCTTGTCTGCCTATGTCCTTAGACCAAAACAGCTACAACCTACACCCCTGAACTTCTGAGCATTCCAGCTTCAGGTACCCCTGGGAATTCCCCCTTGGACTCCTTGCCAGAAATCCTGCCCTTAGAGAGCCTTGTAAGAGTCCTGCTGTTCAGAGCTGTTTGTTTGCATCCTACTACAGAGCAAGCACAATTATAGATGATCTCCTGTGTTCGGCTCCATTGTCCTGACTAGAGTCAGTTCTGGTTTTATACTGCTTTCTGCCTAAGTTCTCCCTGCAATTTCAGCTGGATGAGAGATTTTCTTTTGTCTCTCCTTGTAATCATGCTGCTCAATTTTCCAAGCACATGACAGTTATTTGGGTGCTGCCTTTCTACTGTAGAAATGGTTGCATTTTAATGGTTCCCAAAGTGATACCATGAGTGCTGAGTGGTTTGGCATAAAAGGTTTGATTTTAAACTTACTCTAAATATCCTATATGTGAACCTGAACTTTAGCAGGGAGACCTGGAGAGACTACATAACAGTCAAAGTAGTAGCTCCCACTAAACCAACCTATGTGCTGCTTTTCTTTAAAGTCTCCTGTAGTTTGGAGAAATGTAAATGGCAGCTTCACTTGAGCTCTGTGAAAGAACAACTCACAATCTGGAAGCTGTCTGAAGCCTTTCCTGAAACCCTCTGTTTGCATGTTCCCTCTCTATAGGACGGTTATGTAAGTCCAACTGGATGTGTGCTGGAGCTTCAGCATTCCCTACCCTAGACTCTGACCTGCTTTATAATGGGTACCCAGAGGAAGCAGAGGTCACAGATAGACTATGGAAACCACTGGTGCTGCTGATACCTCTTCGGCTTGGGCTCACGGATATCAATGAAGCTTATATTGAAACACTAAAGGTAGGAGACCTAGGGATGAGCTTTTTGGAGCTGTGTATTGTAGAAGTGAGCTGGGAACTTGGCATTTTGCTGCCTGAAGTTCTTCTACCAATCTTGGATAAGTCAGGTCTGAAATTAGTTGAGGGGTAAATTTTTTCAAAGGAAGGGTAGGCATGTAGGCACTTAGGTTTCACTGACAGTCGGTATGATGTAAGCTCCAATGTAACTAAACTGCTTTTGAAAATGGAGTTTAAGCAGTGCCAGTGTTACTCTTGATTTAATCTCAGTCCTTACCTGACTCCATAGCACAGGATTACCACAGAATCCAGCCCACTGGTTGTTCCGTGCTTGGAGGCAGCCTGAACCTCAAATGTAGAGCCTCAAGCCCATATTTGTCTAGGATATCACATGTATGGGTTAGGATTTAAATAAGCAGTACTTTGCAAGCCCTGCCTGGTGTCTTACAATCTCAGGAGTTTGTAGAGCTCCAGATCTGAGGGGCATAGAGCTAATGAGATGTTGCCCACTGACTTGCAGTAACAGTGCTGGCGCTTTCCTAGATGTCTGGACAAGGGAACTCCTGGATTCAGGTCTGGTGTCTTGTTCTCAGTGCACTCTGTCAGGATGTTGCAGCTCTGACACAAAATAATCTCAGCCCATTTTCCAGGAACATTCAGACAAGGATCCTCTTGTCAGCACTGCTGTCCAATGACACAAGCTTGAGGGGGAATATCCTGGCCATGAGAGTTTTGCCACTGATTTCTGTGGAGCCAGAATTTTGCCTCAAGCTGCTGCTGGCATTTGTAGCCATAGTACAAATGGCACTAGGCAGTATCCAAAGTACTTCCTCCTTCCTACCACCGTTTCCATTCCTGGGATGCTTGGTTCCAGATACTGCCTCTGAGGTTTCCCTGAGACACTTCTTCTCTTGGGGCAGGCCCCAAGCTGAAGCCACCTTTCCTCCTGGGAGTCCCTCTCTTCCATAACCAGCTGCTTTTGCTGTTGGAGTTGCTTACTGAACAGCCTCCCAGCACACATCACTGTGGCCTTTCCATTAGACTCCTGGGTTGTTGGCCACCCATATTTTGTCTTGCTTTCCAGCACTGCTTCATGATGTCCCAATCCCTGGGGGTGATCGGAGGGAAGCCTAACAGTGCTCACTACTTCATTGGCTATGTAGGTGAGTGAGTAACCCTCCTGGGTGCTGGGTGGTATCAGCTAGGTGTTCATCTGCCTCACTTGGGCTGCAGCTTTCATACCTCCCCTAATGAACAAGTTGAGTGTTTTCCTTTTCCTTTAAAACAGCTTGATGTGCTGTGTGATTAGGTTTCCTTGTGAATAAGGGTCTCCATACCCTAAAATACCATTTCTCCTGGAATACACCCTATGCAAAAGTGAATTCCAGCACAAAGCAGGCCTGCGTGGTAACCTCTTTTTAGATCCATTGCTGAGATCCCTTCCTGCGGTTGTGTGTTCCCTTGGGGACCCCCTGCTTCCCCATCTGTATGAACTCAGTTCACCCTCTCTCATCGACCCTATGAATGCCAGGCTTTTCAAGATCATGAGCTGATTCTGCTGGTGGGCATTAATCACCTGCTTGCTCTTCAGAAGAAAGCTACAGGCTGTGATCATTCATGTTTGTCTCCCTGTCTGTTTGTTTGTCCAGAGGAGGAGCTAATTTATCTGGACCCCCACACTACCCAGCCTGCTGTGGAGCCCAGTGACAGTGGCTGTATCCCTGACGAGAGCTTCCATTGCCAGCACCCTCCCTGCCGAATGAGCATCGCTGAACTCGACCCCTCCATTGCAGTGGTGTGTTCTGTTGCTTATTTCCATGCCAGATGTTGAGAGCTTGACTTCTGGGGCAGGTGGGACCATCAGTTTCCCAGGCATCCCTTCCCTTCAGGCTGGTTCCTCTCCCTGTTAGATTGCTGATGTAGATGCTGGTTGCCTGGCATGTTGTGTTCTGTGGCAAGAAGTCTTGAATTTGGCCTAAAGATTTAGTCAGAAAGGTTATGTAGGCAGCTTCTCTGGGAATACAGTTGAGTACAGAGGGACACCCTGATGTGGCTACTTCTCCAAAGCAATTAACTGCTAAGTGTCCATCATGATGTATTATTTCCATTGGTCAAACCACAGGTGCTGAGAAGGTAGCCTGTAGGCTGTGATGTAACCACTATTGGCTATTGCTCCCGAGACAAAAGTGAACACTGTCTCTGCATGGATTACTACAGTGTTCACTCCAGGGCCTGGCATAGCACAGTGAGCACAGAGAGAGGAGCTGTCCCCTCTCACAACCTAAATGCAAGTGGGAGAGGCTTTCTAATGGCAATCTGTAGTTCAGAGAGCAAAAGTACCCAGGATGCTAGGGTCAAGTCACTGACACACTCTCCTTTTAAACAGATTTTTTTTTTTTTTTTTTGAGAGTATGGGGAGGTTCTGCCATCTCTGACATGCAGTCTGGGCTTGACTCTTGCCTTGCGGTGGAGCAGCTGGCTTGAACACTGTTGTGACTGTGTTGTTCAGTCAAGTTCCCTTGTCCTGTTTTCAGTTACATCTATAATGAGTGACCTTTGTTTTCAGCTGGACTGGCTCTGCTTCTGTAACACTTGCATTATCCCAGCCAAGGCAGGATAGACCAAGAGTTAGTACTCCCAGGATACATGAAGGGCTGGTTTTGATTACATCTCTGAAAACTGGTCAGTTTGGCTATAGGCAGCCTGAACTGTAATAAAAGCAAAGTTGCTAGAACTACAAAAGCATTCTTGCCCCTTTGGTGTCTTGCTTCATCAATATGTTTATTTGTGTAACTGATGCTGAACAAGTACATTTTAAGCATTAAGGCATGATGCTTTGGGGTGGACTCGGTCAACCTTTTTGTCATGTTACAAGCTAGCAAAGACAGTATAACATTCTCTTTTTCAGGGCTTTTTCTGCAACACAGAGGAAGACTTTAATGACTGGTGCCAGCAAATCAAAAAGGTTTGTGCTTGGTTATATCATTGATAAAAGACCATAAGATTGTTTTCAAATCCCAGTGCATGTATCTGGCCCATTCTCTGCAGCTGGAGAATAGAGAACTACTTAATTGATCTTTGCACCAAAAAACCCTCAATCCTAAATGCCAGATGCCTGAGAGGATTTCTCTTGCCTTGAAGCCCAGCAGACTGGTGCTGTCAGGCCAGGGTAGGAAATTAGCTCGACTGTGATGCCTCCCCTTGCAGATTATTAAAGCATGTTACTAATAGTCTTGCAGTGTTTGACAGCGGTGGTATGCCTGCTCTTACAGATGGCCTGGAAGTGACATCAAGTAAATTTGTGCAGGATCTAACATGATTGTCAGCCTAAGATGACAAAAATACTTCCTTACGCATACACCTGGCCTTCTTGCTATCCCATTGCTTTCAATGCAGTTATCTATCTTATTGTGTGACTGATGTGGCTGTGCTGGGGCAGAACTCAGCAACCACCTAACAATGGAATAACAGGGAAGGAAGTAAAGTGCATCAGAATTTGAAACTGTAATGAGGGTTTGGGCAAGTGAAATCAAGGCCAGGACCTCCAGGCTAGGGAGGCTGGTAGCCCTGAGATTTCTAGAAAACACAAGGAAACAGAATGGATTTCATGTCTCCAAGAGCTTGTTTCCACAAGCAGCCCAGTGGCCCCAAACAGCTTGCTAGAGGACTGGTTCAGTTCAACTGTAGTTGAACAGCTAAATTTGTTTATTTAGCTTGAAGAGAAAACATAAATATGAACCCCTGGTAATGCTGAATGTGTTTTCCCTCCCATTTCCCAATGCAATCCTGTTGTCTGCTCAAGGATTGTAAGCCACTGGTTCCCTCATTTGTTGTCTTTGGGGTTCCTCAGATTGGTGGCTTGTCGTCTCCCAACCTGAAATCTAACACTTGCACAGTTGTGACTTCCATTTCTCTCCCTGAGAACAAGTCCTTTGCTGAACTACTTTGTCAGTGCCTCTTGCTGCCCCAGGGAGAAGGGCCAAAGGGCTTCTGTCACCTCTGGTCCTCACTGCAGTGGTATGTGATGGGACCAGCAGGTACTCTCTAGTGGGGAGCACTTGCACTTAAGAGGAGGCAGGAATTTAAAGTTGTAGATAAGATCTCACCAGCTGTTTTCTTTTGCTGTCAGATGCTTCCCCTTTCTCCTAGATCCATAGTGAAAAGACAGGTGCCACCTTTGAATATGAGCATGTTTGTATTAACAGTGTGTGCTCTCTGAACTTTTGTTCCACAGCTGTCTCTGATCAGGGGAGCCCTACCTATGTTTGAACTGGTGGAACGTCAGCCTTCACACTTCTCCAACCCTGATGTTCTCAATCTCACACCAGGTGAGGCCCAGCTAGCTATTCATCTGGGTACGAAGCCCCCAGGGTGGGCTGCATCCTTTTAGTCTATGAAAGCTTGTGGAGTTCTGACAATCTTAGGTTCTCTCTGCCCCTCTTCAGCCTAGAATTTGTCTGAGATCACCAAGTTAGGAGTTCCAGTAGATGCTGGAAGTGATTTAGGATGAAATTAGACTAGTCTTAGTTTCCATTGTTATCCATTCTTACATGGGCCAGCTAACCACTCTCTGCCCTCTTGGTGCAATGAGGGACAACTGCCAAGCAGTTTTTCTGCTCCCAGTGCCCATTTGTTGTGTTAATCATGTGCATGAACATGGCAGGGGTTAAAGAGCCGTTAACAGCTTCTGCCAAGGGGAGTGAGTATGGTGGACAAACCTCCTTTCTTGCCAGTCGGGCTGGGTCCCAGTAAATGTGCCCTGCACTCTCATCTGTCCCTCTGCTAATAGCTGTTCTCTCTTTATCACAGCTTTATCTCACACTCTAGCCCTTGTCCTTCTCTCAGTCCTCTCCTACTATTTCTCTTTCCCATCTGGTTCCTCTCTCTACTGTTGTAATGGTCTGGTTATTTTCTAATTCTCTACCCCTCACTTGTTCTGGCTGATCCTTGCCATCCTATGGTTCAGTTTTCTGCTCACTAAAACAAACTGCATGTCACTAATTAAGTCTCACTTCTGTCCTCATCTTCCTTTACTGTTGGTTTCTCCCCCCTCCCCCCCCATCACATCAGTGGAATGAGCTTCCCTCTGAAGCATCTCATCTAGATTAATGCTTTTGGCCTGTGTTGAACTCCTGACATCAAATGTAAAAATATTCCAAAGCAGTAACTGTTGGGCTTTGTCACCCGCTGCCTCAAGGAACTGGAGTGTAGCAAAATCATGACTCTGTGCCCATCCAGTTCTTATGTGACTTGCCTTGTCCATCCCTGCCTTGCAGTCAGCTACTGTCATTTAGTATGTCTCCAGTTCAGTGATTCTCAGCCCAGATACTGCAGGGTGCTGTGGACTATTAGTAGTATTAGGTGTTCAACCAACAACACAAGGTAAAGCCAGATTTCAAGTAGGAATCCATAGTATCAAAACCATTCGGACCTGTCATGATTTTTCTGAGTTCTTTACAACAGAGTAGTTGCTCTAATATTTTGTAGTCAAAAACAGTGAAAATTAAGAGCTGGCATTTTCTGAGGAATACCTTGAGTCTAACAAGGTTAAGAACCACTGCTGTAATTGGTTGTTGTTCTCGTAAATCTAAGCCATTTTTCTTCTTACAGCTTTATCTAGCATTGGTCTCCCCAGGATCTTTGTTCTGCCCCAGATCTCTCCCCTGGCTCCCACTGAGCTCTCCTTTGGTCAGCTCCAGGCTTGCAGCCTTCTGTGGTGGTAAAAAATGTGCATCATGGAGCCATGCATTTTCTGTTGCCAGTGCCTCTGGGATGAACATTCCCCAGTGGCCTGCACCCTACAAACCAGAGGGAGCATGAGATGGCATCAATGCCAGCTTCCTCGTGGTGGTGGTGTCAGCTGAGTGAACAGTCTTTTGTGGGTGGCATTGCTTTTGTTGCCTTCTCTTCTCATGTTGAATCAAGGTGCTAATATGATAAAATGTGTTGTACAATCCAGTCCTGGGGGAAAAGAGCATCTCCCAGTCTTAGTGACATGGGACTGAGCTTTCTTCATAAACTCAAGCATGCTGTGTTCCACCTCAGGATCCTCACTTCATTGTGCTACCTCTGGGGTGTGTTGGCTAGTGACACCCACAGCGTAAATATGTCATTGTGAAATAGGCAACTGACATGGCCAAACTTTCTCTTGTCCTTTCAGACTCCTCTGACGCTGACAGGTTGGAAAGATTCTTCGATTCAGAGGATGAAGACTTTGAAATCTTATCTCTCTGAACACTTGTAGGAAGCGGACTCTGCAAATCTGTGTTGTGTGCGGGGTGGAGGAGGGGAGGGAAGCTCCTTCAAGAGTCTGGGGCTACCGGTTTTCATAGGTGCTTGCTGCCATCCCTGGCTCCCATCCATCCCAGCATTCTGTGCTGCCTCTGAGCAGGGTGCCCGCCCGTTCTCTGTATTGGGATCAAGAACCAAGTTGTTACAAAGGCCTTATAGCCTGGAGTTGGGATTCCTCAGCACAAAACATGCACAGGAAGTGGATGCAGTGGTGCCTAGGGGTTTAGAGGCTTTTTTGTTACATCAGCAGGTCAGCCAGTTCTACGTGAGCTAGGTCCTTTTACACACAATCCTCAATCGCAGCTTGCCCCTTGTTTGGCTGGCAGAAACCTACAGTTGGTTCCTCCACAGCTCCTCAGGTTCTGGCTGCCTGGGAACAAGCTTTGCTTTGTGAATTAATGGCAGACATCTCCCCTGCAACCATTTCTGATGCCCAGTAGAACATGAACTGGACCTATGGTAGTATGTCATTGCTGCTGCTGCTGCTTAAGCTTCATGAGCTGTGCAGTGCTTTCTCACAGACATGATATTGCCTGTGCCCAGAACCAGCCTGGGTCAGGTCAGTCTGTTACATGGCTAGTAACTGCACAGGCACTAAACCTTGTGGTTACCACCAAAGTTTGAAGGTGACAAAAGGAGGATAGGAAAAGTCTCACACTGAATAAAAGCAGAGGGAAGTTTCTCTGGAAGGGTGCATGTTCTTACTGAGTAACTTGAATGCTGAGGCTCTATGATGGATTAACCAGTATAGTAATGGTGTCTTTTATTAAGGCTTCTGCTTCTGAGCAGAGGCAAACACCTCAGGCCAGGGAAAGACTTGGGTGTCTGTAATAATAGATCTTGAGAGCCTGGTAGCTGCTTTTAAGTAAAAAGGGTGAGACAGAACAGGACAAGTAGGAAGCTGCCAAGCTCCTTCCTAGTAAAGATGTGTCTGCCTTCTTGTAAACATCGCTGCTGCATGGTGTAGGCACGGTGTTTTCCTGTGCACCCTGAAAACCCGAGGGCTAAAAAATGCTGATGCAGCCAGTGTAGCTTGGTCACTCCTTGCAACACCACTGTTTCTCTTCCTGTCCAAAATGATATACAAGGGAGCATGAAGCTTAAGTAGATTTTTTTTTAGCTGAATGGTACCGTTTCACTTGCTATTCTGCAGCTTCTCTAGAAGGTAGCCCTTCTTCCAGAGTGTGTACTGTACTACCTAGTCCAGAGAAATTCATCCCAAGATGTTAGTAAAAAATTGGGTGCCTTATAAAAGGTTTGTGTTTAACTATAGGTCAACACAGCAGTACTAGGAACCTTAGCAATGTTAAATTCACAGCTTTACTTGGGCTGGCCTTATGGCTCTTAACATCTCTACAGAGCAAATAAACCCCAGATGGAAACCAGGTGTGTGGAAGGCCTCTATCTTAATGCTGGCCACGACAAAGTCTCTCAAGACATCTTCCTTTGCAGGGGGCAAATGTTTGCTCACAAAGCCCCCATGTTCTGCATTTAGGAACAGCAATCAGTATGCTTTTTGTGCCCTAAAGGAAGTGACATCTGGCTATGAGTGATCACTTCATCCCTGGCTGACCTACTCATGGTATACCACCTGCCTGCCCCTAGGCTGCCAGAACAGAGGTTTCACCTCTGAACCACCATGCTTCTCTCACTAAATTATTACTTGCTGCTTTCTCTCTTGCTGTTCCTCTGCTTTTTTCTTGCATCAGTTGTAGCTGGGAAGGGGAGGCAGCAGCTGAGAAAGTGGGGCTGTGCTCCATTCATCTCCTGCTTTCAATTTGTATCTGAATAAACTGATTTAAAATCTTTGGATGTTTTTTCCCCTCCCTGTTTTTCCCTAGTTATTGCTTCCAAAGAGTTGCCCTGTACTACTAGCAAAGGATGAGATGCATTTTGCTTTTCTCTCTGGCCAGAGGGGGGCTCACATCACAGTATGGAACACTCCTGAGACAGTTCAAGCCCACCTGCTTTGGGTGGCTAAGGTGGTGCATGCTCCTCGGAGCCATTGAATGCAGACAAGGGTTTCTCAGAATTACTTGGGCTCAACTGAAACTGGGGTTCCTAGAATAGGGAGTATAAGCCTATAGTTTGAATGCCCCATCCTGTTGAAGGCAGTACAGCATTTTCCTTATACTTTGCTTAAAAGGTTCCAGTAGCTGGCAAGAAGACAGCAGTGTATGCATGTGGAACCACTTGCTGTGCAGCATTTAAAAACAAAGGTTATGTCTTCCCTAGCAAAGTCCTAAATCCAGTCACTGCATGCCTCCCACTCCTACAAGAATACAAGGGTGAGTCCTGGGCTTCTAACAAGAAAACAAGTAGTGGTAGACAGCTCAGTTTTCCTCTAACATTTAAAAAACCCCCCAAGCAGCTGGATTCTGTTTGTAAGCAGAGCATGACCTTCAGCATGAGCAGTACCTAGAGTACTGACCAACATGCTCACAGCACAGGACCTGAATGTATGCTAAAGTCTGTGGCACAAAGTGCCCCCCCCCATCTCTTTGGGAGAAGAGCCAGAATCCTAAAAGCAGTAATGATGAACACTTGCCTGTGTTGTCACTGATCATTAGCAGTGGACCTCCCCTTTTAGCAGTGTACTCTGTCAACCTAGGACTTGAATGTGTGAATTGTGTATAAGTACAAAGAGACTCCTAGAAATCAGAGGGTTGTGAAGCTATTTTCTTAGCTGGTTTACTGTGCATATAGTCTATTCAATGCCCAACCTAGTCCCACCCTTTTTCTGTAGGGTAATGAGTCTTAAGCTGGGTGCCACAAGACCCTGGATGCTTTGCTATTTTGTCAAGGGTGCTGCTGATTGTCATGCAATGTCAAGCCCTGTTCAGTGTGCAAAGCTGATTCACAAGTTAAACCACTTTCAAATAGGAATCTATAGTATTAAAAGCGTTCTGACCTGTTGTAGTCAGTTCTCTGCAATAGAAAATTGCTTTTATTATTTTTCTATAGTAAAAGCAAGAGAAAACTAACAAGCTTCTATTTTCTAAGTGTCTTTAAGTCTCAAAAGATTGAGAACTGCTACTAGAGGGCTTTTAATTCATGGCAGCAAGAGTGCAAGTATGCATTGTGGCAGTAAGTTTCTCGTACCACAGAAACCTGCAGGAGCTAGTACCACCCCTGACATTCTCACAATTTGTAAAATAAAGATGTCAGCCTGGCCCTATCCTGAAATCAGCTGTACATCCTCTAAGGTGTCCAAGAATTCTGCACCTTGGATCACTTCACATTTGGCTATGACAGACAGACAACAGGTACACTTTTTATCATTAAGCCTTTATTTTAGCATATTTAATATTCACTTGTCACTACAAAACAATGAATATCTAGGTGTTAATGCAGTCCCTTCACCATGTGAATTGATTCTTTCTGGCTATGAATCTTGACCTCCCAAAAGCCCAGGGAGAAAGTATTGTTCTTATTTTGCAGATTGGTAACTGAGGCAGAGATCAATGAAGCAGCTAGCCTGAATTCAAAGCCAGTTTACTGAAAGGCTGGGAAGCGAACTATGCTCTCCAGAGGCCCTGGTACCATAGCAACATCATTGCCAATACCTCTCAGTGCTAAACTTTTAAAGGTAGAAAATTTGTTTTTACTATAGTTTCCCAATATTAATGTAAGGTGAATATCAAAGGGAAGATGGATTTGCCTTCACACTGACAGAAATATTACCAATAAAAGCAGAGGTTTGCCTGATTTCCTCTCCCCTGCCCTTTACTTTGCATCAAGGAAATAGTGTCTCATCTAAACTTCAGATTCTCCCAGCTAAATTTCTGTGGCCACTGGGCTGAGAAGCTATTTAACCCTTGTTTTTCTGAAGCAGAAAAGAATTATTTGATAGCTGAGGTGACAGAGAATCATTGTTAGGTGCTGTATTCCCCTTCATAAAAAATGAGCCCTTTCCAAGCTTTATCATCACAACCATTCAATCAAAAAGGGAACCATGATGTACTAAAAATGCAGCATAAATAAAAGAAGCCAACTTTGGCCAAGAAACTATT